GAATTAAGATAATAAGTTCGGAATTTTAGTACAGAAAGCATTTTAAAATTTGATGGTTAATGACCTATATATTGTACAATTGTCATGTAAACATTAATATTTTGCTTACTATAAAATACTCAAAGTTCGTGCAATTTGGCACCTGAAAACTTGATTATTGGAACAATATTTTTATGTAGATGTCACCCTGTCCAAAAACTCGTCTAAAAGAGGAGCTCGATGTAACACATGCAAACTCTGAAAGACATCTGTCCCTAGTAATAATAGCTTAGGAATTTTCTAGAAGTTTCTACCGCCTAGCACGACTAGGAACTTCGTAATATTGAAATGCCTATATAGAAGATAGAGATGTTAGTATTTTTCTTAACGAACAAATACAGGGTGCTACTCAGACATAAAGCCGTTTAAGATTAATATTAGGCTTGTCGTTCTTAACATAATGGTTGTCTTTTTCTACGTTTATTCTGTTTAGAACTGATAAGATGTGGAGCACACTGCAAAACCTGTAGAAAAAATGGCAATTATCTGATAGAGACGAAGCTGGTGCTGCCACGTGTTTTAGTTCTAGCTGTGTCGTCCAATTAAGATGATGTGGTAACAAATGAATTATACCACCTCAAAAGTCAAATTGCAAACAAGATATGGAACTTAAATTTTGATTTTCGATTTATCATTTCCTTCTGAATCATCAGTCTCATATTTCATTAGTTGACTTTTTTATTGCAGATACCGTTACGTGTTTGCACACTTGGGCAACTCACCGAGGCCCACAGCCAACTCATGCCGAACCACGTGGCACTAAAGTCGAGGTGATTTGTATAGTCGAGGCCCACAAACTGAGGTCCACAGAAGCCTAGGCCTATATATACCGAGGCCCATCTATCATTGCCTCTTGAGGAGCTTCCGAAACCCATATGTCGAAGCCCTTTGAAGGTGGACGAAGCCCTATTGGCCGAAGCTCTGTAACCGAGGTAGCAGCCTTTGAATCAAGAAGCAGCATCTTCCATAGAGGCTTCTCCCAAGAGATCCTCCGCACAAAGATCTTACTTGAATGATTGATAGGACGTTTGTCATGAATGTAATGTTAAGTCTTATCACTAGTAGAGGCGGTTCTGCCAATCAATAAATGTATACGAGGCTAGGTGCGGCTGATGCCTACAATTTGACATGTAAATTAACCGGATGAGACCACGTATACCCCAAACCAAAGGTCACGATCTAACTTGTGACACTATAAATACTCCCTCATGTATCCCATACAAAGGCTAATGCAAGAATTAATACAAGAAACTATACATTACTCAACTCTCTCTTTCTTATTATCTTGCAACACAAACGAGTTCATACATATTTAGATACAATTTACAAACATTGATTGGTAATTATTGTACAATCGGTCTACGGACATCTCGCTGGATTTCGAATGTTCTCGTCCCGCGCCATTGAGCTACTCCCACGCCCTTGATCTGTCCATTTTAGACTGTCCACGTGTCTTCGCGTGTTGGACTTTCTCTCACGTGTGCGGGGGTGGGTCTGGCATCTATTGGCAATACTTTTTGGGGTCAACGGATTGGCACTATCTATGGGAAACCATACAATAACCACAAACAACCTTGTGGTGAAAGCTTATTGAAGAAGAACATTTTGGACATCCCCCTTGAAAAATGATTTGTTCTTGAAGAAGAACAAGAGGAAGCCCCACAACTTAGCAAAAATTTGAAGGTCAAATAAAGAAAATGAGTTCAAACGAAGACACGCCCCCAGGATGGTAAGAGAAAATGCAGGTGTGCCCCCTCCAGCAGCTCGGCACCGACTCCACCACCACCATAGAAGAGGTGGAATGCGAGTGACAATCCGGCTATCAAGAAAAATGGCCGTCATGGCAGCCAACATGAGGGACATTGCTAGCCAGAACATGGCTATGAGGGAACTCATGGCCCAAATGCAATCCAAGGAGGCTTCCCTATTCCTCCATACGCCCCCCAAGGACACTACCAACAAGACGATGAAGTTCAAAGTCAGAGGGTTGCCTCGTCGAACTATAGTCGAGGTAGAAGTCCATTTGAAAGGGAAGTGGAAGTTGATGTTTCTTCCAACTACGCTTCAGGTCGACCCACCGAGGTCTCTTTAAACCATGATAACTTCCCACCTCTATATGAGTAAGAGCGAAGACATAGGAGGTCAAGTAGTATATTTGATAGAATCAGCCCTGCAAAACTGAGGCCTAGGCAACAACAGCCTCGCGGGCCTTGGACAAGGCCACAGCCCCCACCTCCAATGCCTCAACAACCGGAAGAAAGGCATGAAAATGCCCCCCGTGCTACACCACCTAGAAATAGATGCCAAAGGAGGAAAGAGGAGGCTAGGAACCGTCCTGGAACCTCTCACCAACCACCAAGGTATGAGGCCGAAGAAAACGACTCAGATGAGCAGCAGAGGTCCTGTGACTTGGACGATGATGATGAAAACCTGCCATTCTCGAGGGAACTAAGGAGTGCCCAGGTCCCGAGCCACTACATTATGCACAAGATACCAAAGTATGACGGAAAAGGCGACCCTGAGAAGCACCTGAACGCTTACAAAACTCACATAAGCCTAAGGGCGCCACCACAGCTGTGAAATGCAGAGTTTCCACTTAACACTTAGCGGAGCAACTGAAATTTGGTATAGTAGGTTACCACCTGGGAGCATAAGAAGTTGGCTCGAATGCAAGACCACCTTCTTGAAGAGATTCGCTGTGAGCAAAGAGGAAGAGGCTCCCATCCACCGTCTTCAAGATATGAGACAGACACATGGAGAGTCCCTAAAGAGCCTCCTATCACGCTTCACTGATGAGATGACGTACTGTGTGCAAGTCACCAACCGTGAGGCGTTATCTATACTGAGAAGAGGCCTAAACATGAACACCTTGTTTTGGAGGGACGTGCAAAATCAAGACCCCACCACCTATGACGCCCTACTCGAGATGATGAGATGGGAGATCATCAATGAAGAATTGATTGAGCATAGGAACAGGGCAAGTAGAGGCTTTCCACCTCCGTAAAGACAGCATGCTAGAAGGCCGACCTCCCACTTAATGGATTACTAAATGAACCAAGCCGATAATGAGAGTTCTAGGCAAGCATTTGCCACCACCACTCTGAACGTAGTTCCAACCTTGGCATACGAGGATGTCAATCCAGTCATTGACACCCAGCTGATGGGAACTCCACAAGGATCCCGCAGGGAGAAAGGCCAAGGCCAGGTTTTCGAACCTAGAAATAGGTCAAATTCGAACCCCCCGGATACTGCATATACCACTGGTCTTATGGCCACGACACAGAAAATTGTCGAGACTATGCTTATCGTACCTGGCAAGAACCCCCCAGGGATAGAAATGAATCGTCCCAGGCAAACAAGCCCTCATCTAGGCATGACAACCAACCTGGGTGTGAAGAGGCCGCTCCCCATCAAAGGGATGTTTCCCACGACGAAGGGAGCACGATGGAGAGAGGCCGAGGGAAGGGCTCAAACACCAAAGAAATCAACAAACTCAGGATGAGGCCCCTATCCACGAGGTGGATACCATATTTGGAGGCCCATATGTGGGCGGTGTAACGCGGAACGCTAAAAGGAATTACGCTCGTGAGGCTAAACGCCTCTCGCTTACCAGCTATATTGTGGACCACAGCTCCCAGAGGAATCAAGTTTCACCTATTGTCTTCACCCAGGATGACGCTAAAGGAATTCACTACCCCAACTGCGATGCACTTGTGGTGAGAGCGGTCATAGCTCAGAATGGGCTCAAATGAATGCTAGTTGACAACGGTAGCTCTGTCAACATTTTATTCGGGTCCACCTTCGACAAGATGATACTGGACCATGAGTTGACACCCACTACCACTCCCTTGTACGGATTTATCGGAGATAGCATCACTCCGAGCAGAAATATCACCCTTGCAGTGGAGATGGGGGAGTCTCCCCAAACCATAATGAACTTCATGGAGTTCCTCATTGTTGACAGTCGATCAGCCTACCAAGGAGTATTGGGTAGGTCAACTCTAAAGGAATTGGGAACCATCACCTCCATCCACCATCTATGCATGAAATTCCCGATGGAAAACGGGGTGGCAACGGTGAGAGGCAACCAAAGAGGCTTGCGAGAGTGCTATCTAAGCTCCATCAAAAAGGTTGAACCTCGGGACGTCCATGTGATTATCACCGACATAGTCATGGCTGATGTCCTAGGGATGCTCCCTCCGAACTGAAAAATGTGGAAATGATCGACGCACCACCCATTCCGAAAATATTGGTCATCGATGAGATTTACCCCCGCATAATTGAACACGAACCTCAAGCATCCCCAGTTGAGGAACTTGAAAGCTTCTCGATGAACCCCCAAGACCCATCCAAATTGTTGAAAGTGGGAAAAGACTTGTCAAATAGTTTAAAAGAAAAGATCAAGGATTTTCTAAGTAGGAACCTTGATGTCTTTGCTGAGAGGCATGAGGACATGGTAGGCATAGACCCCAAGGTCAGTTGCCACCACTTGAAAATTATTCTAAGGTTGCCCCGCACAGACAAAAGAAAAGAGCCATCAACCTGAGAGATATAAGGCCCTGAAGGAAGAAGTTCAGAAGCTCATCCAAAATGGCTTCATCAGGGAGGCCACCTATCCGAGATAGGTCTCCAACCCGATTTTTGTGAAGAAACACGACGAAAAATGGAGGGTATGCATTGATTTCACTAACATCAACAAAGCTTGCCCGAAGGAGAGCTTTCCACTCCCAAGGATTGACCAACTGGTAGACTCCAAGGCTGGGCACGAGTTGTTGAGCTTCATAGACACATACTCCGGCTACAACCAAATTCTTATGCACCCTGCCAATGAGGAACACGCCTCTTTTATTACAAATAGAGGCCTTTACTGCTATAAGATGATGCCCTTTGGGTTGAAAAATGCCGGGGCCACATATTAAAGGCTCGTCAACAAAATATTTGTGAACCTCATCGGCAAGACAATGGAGGTCTACGCAGACGACATGCTTGTGAAAAGTTTGGAAGCTGGGGACCACGTGACGCACCTCAACAACACCTTCCAAATCTTGAAAATGTATAGGATAAGGCTCAACCCCCTCAAGTGCGCTTTTGGGGTTGCCTCCGAAAAATTCTTAGGATACATGGTCAACCAACGCGGAATTGAAGCCAACCCTGAGAAGATTGAGGCCCTATGCAAGATGAGGTCCCCTCCCCAAAAGTCAAATGAGGTACAAAGCTTGACTGGGCAAGTGGCCGCACTTATTCGCTTCGTCTCCAAAGTTACAGATAAATGCCTCCCATTTTTCAAAGTGTTGAAAGTTGGGAAGAAGTTCCAATAGACCAAGAAATGTGAAGAGGCATTCCAGAGCTTGAAAAGGCACCTAGGACAGGCCCCCCTCCTCTCCAAATCGAAGCTCGACGAGATTCTTCAGCTGTATTTGGCCGTCTCCAATGAGGTCATCAGTGCGGTTCTAATTCGAGAAGAAGGGACCACCCAACTCCCCGTATACTATACAAGTAAAGCACTCTTATCGTCGAAAATCCGTTATCCCTATATGGAGAAGCTTGCTTGGCCTTGATCACGGCTTCCAGGAAATTGAGACCCTATTTCCAAGCCCACACCATACATTGCTAACAAACTTTCCCTTGAGGCAAGTACTTCAAAAGCTCGATGCCTTAGGAAGATTATTGAAATGCGCGGTGGAGCTAAGTGAATTTGACCTTGTGTTCAAGGCTAGGGCGACCATCAAGGGCCAAGCCTTGGCTGATTTTGTGGCAGAATTTGCCAATTTACCCGAGGTGGATGAAATCATGGAAAATGCTGAGCGCCCTACGTGGAACTTATTCGTGGATGGATCGGCTGGGGATACTGGCTCAGGTGCCGAAGTTGTCCTCATCAGTCCGGAAGGTCACAAGCTGAACTCAGCTATGAGGTTCGGGTTCAAGGTCACCAACAATGTGGGAGAGTATGAGGCAATTCTTGCGAGCCTCAGATTAGCCAGAGAAATGCAAGTGAAGAGGCTACTTATCAGAAGTGAGTCCCAACTGGTCGTTAGCCAGGTGAACGGAAACTTCTCAGCCAGAGACAAAACCATGGCCTCCTACTTGAAAACGGTGATGAACCTCGTCCCATCCTTTGAAAAGTTTGAGTTGATCCAGATCCCCCGCATTGAAAATGCACATGCGGATACACTCTCCAAACTTGCAAGTAGCAAGGACTCCGAACTACTCACAGTAGTCCTAATAGAGCACCTCCTCATACCATCAACCGAGGCCTCTAATGTGATGTAGGTAGCCTGGACTCCTACTTGGATGCAGCCCATCATAGCCTACTTAAAGGACCAGGTACTTCCCACTAATAAGCATGAAGCTTACAAGCTAAGGAGGAGGTCATTCATTTTCTCTTCATTGATGATGTACTCTACAAGAGGAGCTTCTCCTTTCCACTCCTTCGATGCATGGGAGGAGAAGAGGCTACCTATATCTTAAGGGAAGTCCACGAGGAAGTTTGCGGCAACCACTCTAGAGGTCTATCTTTGGCGCAAAAAATACTGAGACAGGGGTACTATTGGCCTACTATGAAAAAGGACACCCTCCAGTTTGTACGAAAATGTGACAAATACCAACGATTTTCTCCTATCCAAAGACAACCATCACAAGACTTGACCACAGTCTTTAGCCCCTGGCCCTTCTTGAAGTGGGGTATGGACCTCATAGGTCCTCTACCGAAAGGCAGAAGAGGCACGAGCTTTGCAATTGTGGCCAATGATTACTTCACAAAGTGGGTTGAGGTTGAACCATTGACAAAAATCACAAAAGCAAACACTTCCAAATTCTTGTGGAAGAACATTATATGCCAGTTAGGGATTCCCCACTCAATCATCTCAAACAATGATAAACAATTCGACAACAAGAAGGTCAAAAGTTTGTGTGAAGAACTTAGCATCAAGAAGCACTTCTCCACACCTTTCCACTTACAAGCTAATGGCGAGGTTGAGGCTATGAACAAGACCATCAAACACGTCCTAAAAAGGAAGCTTGATGTGTTAAAAGGGGCTTGGGTGGGTGAGCTGCCACAAGTGCTTTGGGCAATTCGAACCACTACGAGGACCCCCACAGGGGAAATACCTTTCTCATGGCATTCGGAACTGAGGTGATGAGCCCCGTCGAGGTTAGACTTCCATCTCTACGATGTCTGAACTTTAGTGAAATAACAAACGACGAGCTTCAGAGGTGCGACCTCGACTTTATTGAGAAAAGAAGAGATGATGCCCAGCTGAAGCTCGCCACATATCAAAGAAAGATGACGAAGTACTTCAACTCAAAGGTAAAAAAGAGGTCATTTCGAATCAACGACCTAGTCCTTAGGAGAGTCTTCCTCTCCTCCAAAGAACCAGGCTTGGGTACCTTAGGTCCGAATTGGGAAGGCCCGTATAGAATCAAGGAGGAGATCCAACCTGGGACATACTAGATTGAAGACATGGACAGCTAGGCGCAACCCGTCCATGAAACATTGAGCACCTCCAAATCTATTATCAATGAATGTACTACCTCACTGGATGATCTTTCCCAGCTCATGTAACATTTCCATGATTCAATAAAATTGTCCATAATTAAATTCATGTTGCACTACGTCCTCACCTCAAAGGAGAGATCAGGGCCACCTCACTTGAACTCTGAAGCGCATGCCACTTGCTTCCCTTTGACGAGGCTGAACGCCACTGGGAGAAGCCTTAACATAGATGAACCATCCACCATGTTGGGAAGTGTCGTCACCTAGGACAAGAGGTCAGCGCCATCTCTGGGCTACCTCGCTTGAACTCCGAGGCGCACGCCACTTGCCTTCCTTTGGTGAGGCTGAATGCCACTGGGAGAAACCTCAACATGGATGAACCATCCACCATGTTGGGAAGCGTTGTCATCTCGGATGAGAGATCAGTGCCATCTCTAGGTCACCTCGCTTGAACTTCGAGGCACACACCACTTGCCTCCCTTTGGCGAGGTTGAACGCCACTGGGAGAAGTCATAACATGGATGAACCATTCACCATGTTGGAAGCATCGTCACCTCGGACAAGAGGTCAGCACCATCTCTGGGGTACCTCGCTTGAAATTCGAGGAGCACGCCACTTATTTCTCTTTGGAGAGGCTAAACGCTACTGGGAGAAGCCTCAGTATGGATGAACCATCCACCATGTTAAGAAGCATCGTCACCTCGGACAAGAGGTCAGCACCATCTCTAAGCCACCTCTCTTGAACTCCGAGGCGCTCGCCACTTTCCTCCCTTTGGCGATACTGAACGCCACTGGGAGAAGCATCAACATGGATGAACCATACACCATGTTGGGAAGCGTCGTCACCTCAGACGAGAAGTCAGCACCATCTCTGAGCCACCTCGCTTGAACTTCGAGGCGCACGCCACTTGCCTCCCTTTAGCGAGGCTGAAAGTCAATGGAAGAAGTCTCAACGAGGATCGAACTTCTTTACTCATTAATTCACAAAGCTCAACCACTACGGACTTCACACAACTACCTTTTCAATCAGACATAACAATGTTCTCAGTTCAACTGAAGGACAGTCCAGTCTTAAGATTTACTTGCTTAGTTCCAATATCAGTCATGGTTTGTGTGGCTTAAGTACAGTTTACTTGCTTAAGTGATTGGAGTTGGGATATCAAGTCAAGATTATTTAATTCTTCAATCAATCTTAAGTAAAATTACTTGACAAGGCCAATGCACTTGGAAGAAGAACAACATTGAATAAAAAAGATTATATCGATTTTCAATCAGTTACAAAATGAGGGCCTGAGGCAAGTACATCAAAATTAACTAAAAAGCAAACTATCCTAAGCCTCAGACGATGGCAGAGGTGCCTCGACAGCAGGAGCCTCGGCAACTTGAGCATTAGAACTTCCTTCTTCTGCATCCGCTGATTCATCCCCAACTGCTTCATCAGCTGGGGTCTGAGGCACTTCATCCACAAATTCTGATTTGTGACAAGTCTTAATTTGGGAAGAGTTCCTCAGCCCTCTTCATTATTTCAGCGTAAGCATAATTCCTCCAGTAGACGCTGAAGCTCTTGTACTCCTCAGTGTTGTGGAAGTTGGCAATGTAATATTTGACTGCCTCCTCCCTCGCCACATTGGCCTCCTCATTTACCTTGGCCAATTCATCCACATATCACTTTATTTGGCCCTTCAAGAATTTGTAGGCATCTTGGGCCCTAGCCAGCTGTAGATTGGCCTTCTCCAAAGCCTCAGCAGTCACATTTTGGTGGTCATTGAAAACCTCCACTTTCTTGATAAGGGAAGCCACCTCACACTGGGACTCAAAGACCTCATTTTTCAAGGCTTCAATCTGGGCCAAAGCAGACTCCAGCTTGGTCGCATCTTCGATTTTTTGGGCCCTTGCTTCCTCTGCTTCGGCCCTGGCCTTCTTCAGCTCCTTTACGATGGAGGTCACCTTCTTCTCCGAGGATTGGGTCCTCGTCTGAAAATCAGTAAGGGCCTCCATGCACTCCAATGTGAGGCCAAAAGTCCTCACACTTTGGCTCACAAGAGCCTTTGTTAAGTCCACAGCATCGTAGGAAGAGGCGTGCAACTGCCATCGGTCCGTCCAGAATTTATAGAAGCTCTCCGTAGCGATTCGGATCTCGGCTGGCAGAGCCTCCACCAAAGTCGGGGCCAGGACTTTCTCCCTCCCAGCAAGGAAGTTCAACAATTTTCCTTGCACTCTTGCGAACCTCTGCTTGGCAGCTTCATCCTCTGCCTTCTCAGCAGCCCACGCAGCAGCTTCGACACGCCGCACCATTTCAATTTTCTCTACTTTTGAGGCAGCTTCTAGGAGCTTCAGCTAAAGGGCTTCTTTCCTTCGTCAGACACAAGGGTCTCTAACTTCCCAGATGAGCTGGTGATATGCGCTGGCTTCCTCTTCTTCTGTTTCTCGGGGACCTTCTCCTTTCCCTGAGGCTCTTTGGCCTTCTCCGACCTCTGAGGTGTCCCCTCCTCAACAACCCTGGAAATGCTATCTTTGGAGAGCTGCTCCACCCTCCCCTGAACCTCCTTTGCACCACTTGACCTCAATTTCAGGGACCTCGCCATCACATTGGATGTGGCCCTAAGGATAGAGGCCATGTCCGGGGCTGGGTACTCCCTCCTCTTAAACTTATCGGCAAAGTAGGTCGGTACATCAGCATCGAAACAAAAAGCAAGAAATACACAAGTATACAAGCCTCTTACCTTTGGAGGCCATCAATTCAAAGTCAATGAAGTAGCGGCTTCGGTCGATGAGGTGGTCAAAGTGCCGAAGTTTCAGAGGTCTCTTGTAAATGTCCTCTATCACTTCAAATTCCTCCTTGCTCAGCTCAAAGCTCGTAGTACTATCTGCACAATAAGCCTCAACAGTTAGAAAAATAAAATTTTGAATACAGAACGTAAACTACTTAGGTTGGGAGACTCACGAGCTTCGTAGTACTAGGTCGGTACTGTGCAAGCAAAGGCTGTGTCCCCCTCCACTACCTGCCACCTGCCCCTCACCCAGAACCACGATTCTTTCTACCCCTTGATGAAAAAAGGTAGCCCTACCACAAATGATGTGTGAGCCCCCCAAGGAGTTAAGTAATACCACCCTCTTGACTCCTTACCTATCACCCTAGGCTGGAATAGGGTCATGAAGACGTGGAGAGGCATGTCCTCTCCAAGTGACACTTCCTTCCACAGTAAGTACAAGTCAACCAACTGGCTCCACCCATTTAGTAGAACCTAAGTCGACGACAACATAAAGTCCTCAGCACCGCCCTAAAGAAGGGGTGTAGAGGAAGACGTATACCTGCCTTAAACAAGTATTCACTCACCGCCACACATCCGGGCCTCAAATAGTAGGCGCGCTCATGAGCCTCGGGTACCAACATTTCCACATAATCTCTCTGATCTCTCCCAGCCTCTTCAAAGTCATATCTGAAGGCACTCTGGACGCCCTCCACTCCTCATTGTAATCTACTGGCTCCTCGATCATAGCATATTGCTCGACCTCGAGGTCCCCTTTGTGACTTGCCCCCTCTCCGAATGACGCAACAGTTACTAATTCCCTACCTGAGATGGACTCCATATCAGAATGAACTCAATGCAAGAGATTTTTTGTGAAAATACCTATGGAAAATGACTACGTGAACGGAGTAACACCGAAAAATGAGGAGACTGACTGTTTGGACGCCGAAAAACTTGAGTTTTCTAAGAAGAAATCAGATTGCAAAGGTTGAAAATCCAAAAAAAATGGGGGTCTCTCGCCTTTTATAAAGGGCCAGAACGAACCCTGACCGTCTGATCAAAGCCCATTGAACCTGAACCCTTCATTCTAAACCAAATCCAAGGCGTAGAATTCAAACGGTTTTTCAAACCTAAGCTTCAGATTCAAGCGTGTCCTCCACGCATCTTCTCGAATGCGTCTGCTTCTAGAAGCTCCAGCTGTGCTCATAATTACAACTTTAATTCGACGGCAACAGACACCTTGGAAGTTGAACGGTCCAACACCTTTCTTCAAAAATATGCGTGAAACATCAAATCATTGGCACGACTGCTGAGGAATAATCATTACTAATGAGCATCAGAATTCAGCCTCTACAAGCCTCGCAGGTTCGTTTCTCAAGCACCTCAACTTCCTCATCACAATTCAGCCATCAAGTCTCGCAGGTTCGATTCTCAACCACCTCGGCTTCCTCATCAGATTTCAGCCTCCACAAGCCTTACAGGTTCGGTTTCTCAACCACCTCGACTTCTTCATCACAATTCAGCCATCAAGCCTCGTAGGTTCATTTCTCAACCACCTCGACTTTCTCATCACAATTAAGCCAACAAGCCTCGTAGGTTCGATTCTCAACCACCTCGGCTTCCTTATCAGATTTCAGCCTCCACAAGCCTCGCAAGTTCGGTTTCTCAACCACCTAGGCTTCCTCATCACAATTCAGCCATCAAGCCTCGCAGGTTCGATTCTCAACCACCTCGGCTTCCTTATCAGATTTCAGCCTTCACAAGCCTCGCAAGTTCGGTTTCTCAACCACCTAGGCTTCCTCATCACAATTCAGCCATCAAGCCTCGCAGGTTCGATTCTCAACTACCTTAGCTTCCTCATCAGAATTCAGCCTCCATAAGCCTCGTAGGTTCG